CACAACATTAGATTTGGCAATGATTTCTTGACTATGACACCAAACACACAGGTGACAAAAGAAAAAATCGACAAACTGTTATATTTAAAATTTTATGCATTGAAAAATACTATTCATGGAGTAAAATACAACCCACAAAATGGGAGAAAATATTTGGAAATCATTTACCTGATAAGGGATTAATGTCCAGAATATACAGAAAACTCCTAAAACTCAAGAACAAAAAACCCAATTAAAAAATGGGCAAAAAGCTGGCTGGTGTGGCTCAGTGGCTTGAGTGCTAGACACTGCAAACCAAAGGGTCACCAGTTTGATTCCCAGTCAGGGCACATGCCTGGGTTGTGGGCCAGGTCCCCAGTAAGGGGCACATGAGAGAAAAGCACACATTGATGTTTCTTTCCCTCTCTAAAAATAAATTAATAAAATATTTTTTTAAAAATGGGCAAAGGACTTGAATAGATATTTTTCCAAAGAAGATATAGGAAAAGCCAATACACACATGAAGAGATGCTCAAAATTACTAATCAGCCCTGGCTGGTGTGGCTCAGTGGATTAAGTGCTGACCTGCAAACTGAAAGGTTGCTGGTTCGATTCCCAGGCAGCATACACGCCTGGGCTGTGGGCCAGGTCCCCAGTTGTGGGTGTGTGAGAGGCAGCCAATCAATGTGTCTCTCACATATCGATGTTTCTCTCCCTCTCTTTCTCCCTCCCTTCCTCTCTATCTAAAAATAAATAAACTTTTTAAAAAATCACTAATTGTTAGGGAAGTACAAATCAAAACTACAATGACATAACATCTTACACCCAAAAACAATACAGAACAAGTAAAGGCGAGGATGTAGAGAAACTGGAAGCTGTGTGCCACTGTTGGTGGAAATGTAAAATGGCATAGTTTCTGTGAAAACAGTAGGGTAGTTCCTCAAAAAATTAAAACTAGGATTACCATAGGATCCAGCGATTCCACTTCCAGGTGTACATATGTGAAAGAGCTGAAAACAGTTTTGAAAAGATGTTTGTATACCCACATTTATAGTGCCATTATTCACAACAGGAAAAAGGTGGAAGCAACCCACTCCACTGACAGATGACCGGATACACAGAATGTGGTATGCCATACACACCACAAAATATTATTCAGCCTTAAAAAGGAAATTCTGACAGATGCTACAACATGGATGGACCTTAAGGACATTATGCTAAGGGAAATAAACCAGTCATAAAAAGAGAAATACTACGTGATTCCACTTGTATGAGGTATTTGGAGTCATCAAAATCACAGAAACAGAAAGTAGAATGGTGGTCTCCAGGGGCTGTGGGGAGGGTTATTGGGGGTTATCATGGGGGTTATTGTTTAATAGGGTAGAATTTCAGATTCACAAGATGAAAAGAGTTACAAAGATGGACGGTGGTGATGGTTGCACAAGGTGAATGTATTTAATAACATTGAACTGTACACTTAAAAGTGGCTAAGATGGGCCCTGGCTGTTGTGGCTCAGTCGACTGAGCACTGGCCTGAGAACCAAAAGGTCACCAGTTTGATTCCTGGTCAGGGCACATGCCTGGGTTGTGGATCCCCAGCCAGGGGCGTGCGAGAAGCAGCCAATCGATATTCCTCTGGAGCATTGATATTTCTTTCCCCCTCTTTCTCCTTCTCTTCTCCCCTCTCTAAACATAAATAACATAAAAAAAAACAAACAACTTGAAGAATTCCAAATGTTTGGGATGTTTAGCCTCCCATGATAAATTATTTTAAAAAACATTACATGAAGAACTGAAAAATAATGTGCTTGCTTGACAATTCATTCAGAAAGCTTTATTGTTAACTTCATACAGATCACAGAAGGGAGTACGATGCATGTGAAGATGGCACTAAAGCCTTGTTGCCTGCCAGGACCAAGGCACAGAGTAAATGCAGCTGGGTCCTCCTGCAAGGTCTCAGCTGACACAGGATTGCTGTGGCTGGGAAAACCCAGATAGGGACCTGCAAGCACTTTTCAGGAATAGCAACTTTGCTGGGGACAAGCTTATGACAACGAAGTATGATGTAATTATTTGAAGGAAATGTTCTGCCATGCTTCCAGTGATGAGTTTTTAACAATAAAGCAAAAACCACAAACTGAAAAAGTTAAAGTCAGTCAATGTCACATTACGATACACCACTTCCCTTTCTACCTGGTTTTGAAACTCAACTTCCCCTTTATGTTAAAACCAGTCTTCCTGGGACTTCCAGCAAGATGGAGGAATAGGTGGACGCACCGTACCTCCTTGCACAACCAAGATTAGAACAACAATAAATTACGGTCAGCATAACACACAGAACTGACAGAGGATTTATCTGAATGGAAGTCGGACAGCCAAGAAGTTGAAGTAGACCCGTTCATCCAGACCGGTAGGAGACAATGAGCCGAGCGGCGCAGGGCTGGCGAGGGTCGGTGGCGCGCGGAGGTTGGGGAAAGTTTGGCGCGGAATCGGCGTGACAGCCATCCGGGGCGCAAGAACGCAGTGGTGGTCCCTGAGTACGCAAGCTGCGGCTGGCTGACCCAGTGAGGCAGCGATTGTGGACCAGGGCAGAGCTCGCAGCCCAGGAGCCCGGGGAAGGGTCTGGGCCCAGGAGAACTGAGCTACCACCATTGATTCCCGCCCGTCCCCACTCCCGCCCCCACATATAACGTCACAATCTAGCGACTGGGGCGCCCAGCCCCGGTGAACACCTAAGGCTCCGCCCCCCACCGTAACAAGAGCGACCAGACCAGAAAAAAAAAAAAAAAAAAAAGGAGAGGCAGGGAAAGACATAAGACATGTGTACAACAGAGCAGATCAGTCCCCCAGGACTCATCCTTTTGAGCGACCAAGAAATAGCCAATCTATCAGATGCACAGTTCAAAACCCTGGTGATCAGAAAGCTCACGGAATTGGTTGATTTTGGGCACAATTTAGGTGAAAGGATGCAGGTTACCATAAAAGAGATGCAGGAAGATACGCGGAAGAGAGCCAATAGAGAAAGGAAGGTATCTGAGTCTCAAAACAATACAGTGGACCAGAAGGAAGATAGAATCAACCAAGCAGGAAAGCATGATGAAATAAGAATTCAAAAAATCGAGGAGAGCCTTGGGAGCATCCAGGACACCTTTAAACGTTCCAACATTCGAATTATAGGGGTACCAGAAGAGGAGGAGCAACAAGTGGAAAAGTTATTTGAACAAATAATAAAGGAGAACTTCCCCAATCTGGCAAAGGGAACAGTCTTCCAAGAAATCCAAGAAGCTCAGAGAGCCCCAAAGAAGTTGGACCCAAGAAGAAATACACCAAGGCACATCATAATTACATTAGTCAAGGTAAAAACGGAGAGAATCCTAGAAGCAGCAAGAGATAAGGGGACAGTAACCTACAAAGGAGTTCCCATCAGACTGTCAGCTGATTTCTCCAAAGAGACCTTACAGGCAAGAAGGGGCTGGAAAGAAATATTCCAAGTCATGAAAGACAAGGACCTACATCCCAGGTTGCTCTATCCAGCAAAGCTCTCATTTAGAATGGAAGGGAAGATAAAGTGCTTTTCAGATAAGGTCAAATTAAAGGAGTTCATCATCACCAAGCCCTTATTTTATGAAATGCTAAAGGGACTTATCTAAGAAAAGAAGATAAAGAAAAAGACATGTATAGTAAAAAAGACAGCAAACTCACAATTATTAACAACCACACCTAAAGCAAAACCAAAAGAAACTAAGTAAACAATTAGAACAGGAACAGAACCACAGAAATGGAGGGCACATGGAGGGCTAGCAGCAGGGGGGGGGGTGGGAGGAGGGGAGGGGGGAAAGGTATAGAGAATAAGTAGCATAGAATGTAGGTTGAAAATAGATAGGGGGAGGGCAAGAATAGTACGGGAAAGGTAGAAGCTACAGAACTCATAAGAATGACACATGGATGTGAACTAAAGGGGGGGAACGTGGGTGGGAGAGGGGGTACAGGGAGGAGGGGAGGAAGGGGGGAAATGGGACAAATGTAATAGCATAATCAATAAAATACATTAAAAAAACACAAAAACAAAAAAAACCCAGTCTTCCTTTGAAGAGGTGACTAGGAAATGGTGCAATTTACTCTGCGGCTCTAATACAGACTCCTGGCTTGCACAAGACAGGAACCGGAGACATAAAAATGTGGAGTCCTGCCACTGGGAGTGTGGTCCCTGGGCCAGCAGCAAGTGCACAGCCTAGGGCCTCCTCAGAACCCTGGGCTTCCCCTCAGAACTCCTGATTCAGAATGTGCATCTGAATATCTTCGGGCAACTGGAATGCATATGACGGCTTAGGATGCACTTGTGACAGCAGAATAGCCCACGTTCCTCCTTGCTGCTTAGCACAATGGAGGCAGTGGTGAGGGGGTGTGCATACTCATGCCTAAGAGGAAGAAGACTTAGGTTCCAGTCTCAGGCTTATCACTGAACATACGCTGTGTTTCCCACCAGTTACACACCACCAGCCCTGCCTACTTCTCAGGACAGCTCTAGGGACCAAATGGGATCTCTGCTAACACACCTGTAAGAGTTCTGGGCCCAGCCTGCCTCTCAGGCCTTATCCTGCATTCTAGCCACCATTCTCTAGGTTGCACACTGCAGTCTAGCCACAGTCTGCGGACAGAGTTCATTTCCACTTCAGGGCCTTTGCACAAGCCGCCTTCTCTGTCTGGAGTGGACGTCCTTTTGACTTCTGTGTGTCTGACACTTTCTTTGTTATTCAGATCTTGGCCTATTACAGCGAGATTCACTGAATTCAGTGAGAACCTGTCAGGCCACCCAATCCAGTCGAACTCTCCAGGGAGTCACTCTGTTCTAATTCTCTGCACAGCACTTATCACCACGTGAGCAGGGACAGTTCCTGTCGAACTCTGGGTTGGAGCCTCAGTGCCCTGAACTGCCCATCACCCTAAATGCTCAACACATATTTGTTAAATGAATGGCTAGAGAAGGTAAAAACAGTCTGGGAAAAAAACAAGCTACTACATGAAATATAGAATGCTTTTATTCATAAAATCTTCCTTGTTTTCATGTAGAGACTTCTCTTGAAAATCATAGCAATATTACATCGATTACTCAGACAGCCTATATCACAGACACAAACATCCCCTGCGTTTTCAGGAAGCAAGAAAAGACTGGAATGCAGGCTGCTTTTCATCATTTTGCAAGGAAAGATGATTCATTCACTGTTCACATTCCTCCTTCAGGTATCATGGCCATAGTCTCCACTCACTGGTTTACTTTCATCCATTTATTTCCCTTGAGAAAGTAAAGAGTTTAAAAAAGAAAAGCCACTTCTGAGGTCACAGTATAGGGTATTAATGTCATGCTGCTAACAGAGCCTCCGCCAAGGATGAGCAGATGGCCTGGAGGCGGCCTGGCGAGGCTGCCCGAGATTCAGAAAAGGCTGCATGCAGGCCGGCAGCGGGGAGAACGTGCTGTGAGACCACAAGCTGAGACCTGTGTTGAGGCTCCTTCTGCCACAAAACTGCAACTTGATTATGATTTATTGCTTTAGTTTTGATTCTCAGTGAGGCATGACAGAGATTGGTTTTAAGTCCAATGTTAGAGGTTCCAAAAAGTTTATACAATTTAGAGACAGATCAGAGAAGGCCACAGCTGTTTTCTTGAACCTATTTACACTCTTTCTACCAAGAAGGTTAAATGAACTCTCCTGCTACTACCAGGTCAGCACTAACTACCGACCCCCAAGTTACAGCATTGATGCCTTTTTATGAATTACCTTTGTCTCGCTTTCCTTATTTCAGAAAACACCATGATGGGAGAAGGTGCACAAAGTGAAAGTCGCACACACTGTGCGGGCTGAACAGAGCGATGGCCCCATCTGCTGATTCCAGCTGAAACAGCAGAGAGTCAGGATGCAGGCGAGTTGGGAGTCCCGCCCTGAGTCCTTCTCAGTGCCCAGGTGATCCACGGCACTGCTGAGAAAAGTCTGTTGTCTGCAGGCACAAAGTGGTATGTGGAGTTTCTAAATATTCCATGTTCCATGTCTCAGTTCCATGTCTTCATTGCTTGTTTATTTTTCGGTTTTAAATTAGCTGTACAGCTCCAGAAGCAACGAGAGGCGCAATGGTTTTATATCGGATCAAGTGCTGTGAGCCTTCTTCCAAGTCAATCACGTAGTCCCTGGAAAAAGGAGGAAAACAATGTACGTGGAGAGCTTAGTGGGTGCTCTACTGGGAGAAGTATTCCCCACTGTCAAAATCACACGCCACTCACCGCTGCTCATCTGTTTCTGGCTCTACCAGAATGTTTTCTTGTCGCTCTTTCACTCTCAGAAACACGTACGAGTCTAGATCCGGTTTGGGGACTGCCAAAAAAATAATAACGTGATCAGAAAATGCCCAGCTAACAAAATCAGCATGGGAAAAGTTGCTGGGATTAATTGTATCGGCCACTGAAGGACCCGTGATGTAAAAGCATTTTGGGGTAGGATGGTTTGAGGAGAGATCTGGCTCCTTCTAGAAACAGCTGCACACTTCCCACCGGTGCTTCCACAGAGCGCCGTCACTGAACAAACGGTGAGTGTTTCAGGTGTGCAGGAAGTTCTCTGCACCTTGCGGAGGATACAAGCAAGCAGAACGCATGGTCCTGCACAAGGCAGTATGCCCAGCATTTGACGAAGCCTCACATGAGGCGCCCATTCCCTCAGCGCTGTGGGGGGAAAGGAGTCGGTGTGTGCTTTGAAGGACAGAGTAGGGTTTAAAGAGGAAGCGTGAGCCTGGTGGGTAATGGCAAGGGCCACGGCAGAAATGTGTGTGACCTGCTGGGAGGACAGAGTGTGTACATATGGCTAGGAAAAGAATTCTATATAAAGGAGTAAGAGGAAAGAGTACAGTACGTCCTCACTTAATGTCGTTGACAGGTTCTAAGTGAAATTATGTGTAACAAAACCAGTTTTACCACAGGCTAATTGATGTAAACAAGAACTGAGTTCTCATAGCATTTCATCAATGTTCTAATGAGAGGACATGGAAAGAAATGTCATTCAAGGGCCTGGTATGTTAGAAAGACTCAACTGTATGGTGATAAGCCTTGGATGCTAGACTAAGGGGTCCCTCACTGGTTGATTACAGGTCAAGAAGTTGCTGTCATCCCTCCTCCTCTTCAACCACCAGCCAACATTTTGAGCTAAGTGAGTGCCCAAGCTGGGCTGCTCCTCCACAGGCCTTTGCTTCCTAGCGCTCCATCTGCACCCGGAGAGTCCACCAGCTGCAGGGTCCAGAACCTGTGGATGAACTGCTCCAGCAGCCCACTTCAGATTTCATGTTGCCCTCGATCCCCTCATTCATAGAAGGGGGTTCAGGATAATGGGCTCCAAAGGTTTAAGGAGGGTGCCCCTGGCTGTTCCAGAGTTCTGGGCTCGCCAAGGAGACTCCAACTTCAGGGTCAGCTGATCTCACTGGGAAGCTGATTCCAGGACCCCCAGCTTGGACTTCACCATGCCTTCCCCCACCTTGCCAGCAGGGTCTCCAGTGCTCCAGAGGCCTGAGGGGACTCACCACACCCGGGCTAACCAAGCAAGACTCTAGTTTCACAAGGGCAGGCTGTTCCCTCCTCCCCACTCCAGCTTCCAATTCCAGAAGACTGGCTCTAGTCCTTGTAAGGAATCTAGGACAGCGACATGTGTTTCAGGAGGCATCCACCAGCATCAAGTAGAAGCTCTAGGACAACCCCGCTGGTCCCAGGGGTTCAGATGCACGCCCATCAGTAGTCCTGTGGTTGCTTTAACCAACTGGTTGTGACAGCAATAGTTAATGATTAGGCATCATCCTCGCCCCATCCCCATTCTTCTAAGGTACAGACAAAAGTAGCTGAACCAGATACAAACTGGGCCTTCTGTTTCCCTCAGGCAGGTTCACCAAAAGGACCAGTCTGGTATGGGTGTGGCTTGCTCCTGGTGTTACAGGCTGCACTGTGTCCCCCACCAAATTCATGGTGAAGTCCAGATCCCCCAGTATATCAGAAAGGGAATGTGTTTGGTGTAGGGCCTTAAAGAGGTAATTAAGTTAAAATGAGGTCAGCAGGGTGGGGACTAATCTAATCTGACTGGTGTCGTTATAAGAAGAGGAAGGCACTGGGGTATGTGTGCACAGAGGGCTTGGAGGAAACAGCCCTGCCAGCACCTTGATCGTGGTCTCTGATCTGTGGGAAAATCAGTGTCTGCTATGTGAGCTCCCCAGTGTGTGGTACTAGTTATTGTAGTCTGGGCTGGCTGAGACATCTGGTGAGCCAGGTGCCCGCCCACCCTGTTCTAGCTCTCCACCTGCCGCAGGGGTCAGTGTGGCCCCAGCACGGGTAGGGTAGGAGATAAACTTCCATGGCTCAGTTGCACTTAAACTTCTGGCTTCAGCACACTAAGCTTAGTTTGTGAACAATGTGGTCTCCAGTCCCTCGAGCATTATTGGATTTGGCTTGGCAGTCATGCCTGACAGAGCTGCTGCTCAGATATGGCACGCTGTGAAAGACAGAGAGATATGGACTTGAACCTAAACGCTAGGGGGTCCCAATTAGTTGATCCAAGGGTAGGAGCCATTACTGTGAGCCCCTCCCCTCTGCTCAGCGGAATTTTAGGGGCACTCTGCGAAGACGGGAGGGGTAGAGGCGCTGGCTATGTTCTACTTCCCTAGTGCCTCTCCCCCCGTCCCCACCCAGTCCTGCTCTCCCATTCCATAATGAGATCCTTCCATTCCATAATGAGAAATTCCTCATCACAAAAAGATGAGGAGCCTTTACTATGGGTAACGAGGAATCACTGAAGGTTTCCTTAGCTTCCTTTAACTCCTCCTTCGTAGCTAGACAGTCCCTGCATAGTCTGGAATCTGTGAGGACAAGACTGCCAGCTCTTTGAGAGCAGAGACCTTGTACCCTCAGTGCTCAGAGGTGCCCAGCGCCATGCAGATGCCCACCAGAAGGAATACACGACTGAAGGCAAGAATGAGCCCACATTTGTAGCACCAGTCACGAGAATGTCAGCCTAACCCGAAGAACACCTGGCTGCCCTTATACCTGCTCTAAATGATCTTCTGTTTTTAACTCAACCCTTCTTCTCTTTTCTTTCCTTTATCTACACTTATTTTTCCATGGTTGAGAGACAAAGAGTAAAGGTAAAGGTTTTACTCGAAAGCATCTGAAGATACTTGGAAGTGATACTCCAGGTGACTGAAAAGAGAATGTTCTTACCTGACTTCAAGAGGTCTACTTTCTGCAAATTAGGAGGCATGTGCTTCAAGGCAACATTCTTTAGATAGGTCTCTGTGTTAGCCATGTACCTGAAATACACAAATTAAAATCACCGTGACAACCTGGCTGGTGGAAGCCGCCAGAACTATCAGACAGACAACAGTGGCTCTGAGATCAGCTTCGTGGATACAACCAGCAAAACTCACGCTCACCAGCCAGGGAGAGAAAGGCAGGTCCCACACTCCCTGCTTACTCACTCTTTGGCAAAGGTGAGCTCTGCTGGAGAAAGGATAGAGGGCTCCTCCTCCTGGCGTGTTTTCTCCTTTTCAAGGACATGAGGGAAAAACTTCTCTATCTGTAAGGATAAATACAAACCATCATGAAAACATCTGTCAAGAGTTAAGTGTCAAACATACTACTTTTCTGAAATAGAGGGAGGTTAGTATAGAAACTGACTTTAACAATGGCAAGTCTTCGTGGTGAAGACTGTTTTTAATAATGAGACCTATATTCTGGACTTCAAGAAAACAGGTTTCAAACAATTCAGAGGAAAGATAATGGCTCTAAAAAGAATGGCACACTTCTGTAAAAGATGGTCTGAAGCCCTGGCCAGTATGGCTCAGTGGGTTGGAGTGTTGTGTTGTAAACTAAGAGGTTGCAGGTTTGATTCCAAGTCAGGGCACATGCCTACACTGCGGGTTAGGCCCCTAGTGGGATGTGTGGGAGAGACAACCGGTCAGCATTTCTCTCACATCAGTGTTTCTCTGCCTCCCTTCCTCCCTCCCTTTCCCTCTCTCTAACATCAATAAGCATGTCCTCAGGTGAGGATAAGAAAAAAAGATAATCTGAGTACAACTGTAAATGATATTTAAGAGGAGGAGAAGGGGATATTACTTAATATATTTGTGTAATTGTACAGGGTATTCTTCTATGAGATGAAACATACCCAAAAGCTGGGAAGATGCATCCAGAATACAGAAGCAGACAGAACAGCGATACTTGTAAGAACAGAAACAGCAAGGATAAAGCCCACAATGAGGTGAGGCTTATAAAAAATGCTAAGAACTGCCAGGAAAAAATAGACAAAAGATGTGAGGCCAGGAACCTGGAGGAGATCAGTCTGCTGTTTGAAAGCAATGATGTGCTGGTTACCTCTGTCAAGGAAGTGCTCCTTCTAACCAGGGAAACGACACGGTCAGGAACAACTGAAGGCCAAGATAAAGAAGCAGTTCTTTTATTTAAAGGAGTGTAAGACTTTTAGCTCGGATCAATTATGTTCCAGGATAAATTAAACTAACATTTATAGGGGGTTTAAATAAACGAAGCACTTTCTCCTATTATATGTAAATTGCTACTACTACTTTATCACTTATTAAAAATGTATGTAGTTTCCTAATCTCAGAAGAATTAGTTCAAAGGAGGTATGAAAGATCAGAGATAGGCAAACTTCCCAATTTTCAAAAATATAGCAGGTGGAGAATCTTCAAGTACAGACAGTGTCCTTAACGTTGACATGTGGCATTGTATTAGAACAGGTAATTTAAAAGACGGTTTGTGAATTCAATGAAAAGTAAGTAGTAAACATGAAGAGGTTTTACCCAGAAAAATGGAGTGGCCTGGCAGCTGAGGTTGGAGTGAAGAGGCACACGGTGCGTCTCAGTATTTTCAGGACATGACAATGTCTTCACGACACCTTTGGGGACATGCTGTAGACTGGGGCAGGGTAGCAGTGTAGAGCGGGAGACTCACGGACAGTTAAACGAAGACTACTGACGCCACCGAGAGATGTCAGTCTGCAGGGAGGCCTTTGGTGGAATGTTCTATCAATGGCCCGGTCCCATGAAGGAATCGGAGAAGACCCTTGATGACACATGTATCACATTTGCTGGTGACATAATGTATTAAGAGATAACTAATATATTAGGTGACAAGATCAGGATCCAGAAACCAGGGAGATGGCCAAATTTAATAAAATAAAGCTGAAGAGGGATAAGCATCAAGCCCTACACTTAGGAGTCAAACATCCAGCCATACAAAGACCGGATGGTGACAGGATGGGGTAACGGTGACTTCAACATTTCAGATGGGGCTCAGGTGAACAGTGAGTACAGAATGAGCTTAGTGTGACGTGCCTGTCAAACATGCCAATGTACTACTAGGTGGCATCACTACCATTTTAGTGACCAGAATACGGGAAGTGATCATCCTGCTTTAACAGACACGACCAAACTGCAACTGGAGCAGTGTATTCAGCTGAGGTGGTGCAATTAAAGACGGCTATCAACAAACCAGAACTTTGTAGGAAAGAGACCAGGGGAGTACATGGAAATAAATGGTTGAAATGTTTAGCTGAGAGGATTTCCATAAGACTCGTGAGCTGTCCTTAGATATCTAAAGCATCCTCACGTAGGAGAACGTATTTGTTTTGTAATAACTAAGGGGACAAGCAGAGCTAATGAGAAGAAACTTAAAGGAAGTAAGAACTTTCCAAGGTTAAAATAGGTATCGTGCAAAATAAGAATGTTTTGTAATTTCATTTTTATAAGTTAGAGCTACGGTTGAACGTTAAGTAAGCACTGCCATGCTATAACACCAGGGGGCACCATTCACAGCAGATAAATAGATTAAAAATGTGTCTGTCCCCAAGAGTGTGCCACGTTCCATCTATGCTTCTCCAGAACAATCTCTTGCCCTCCTTACTCTTTAGCTCCCCTGACATCGGGCCTCAGCAGCATCTTCAGGGCCTGGATTCTCCCAGGCCCCAGCCTCACTTCTTTCTGAGATGATCAGTGTATGTTATACACTGTACTGCCTTAATACCTAAGGGTATCTTGATCACTTCTATCTCTAGTAAAAGCCATAAAAACTTGGCTGGTTTAAGCACCAGCTGTTGCGTATATATAGATGTGTGACTGACGAACACCCTACAGGTAACATCATGTAGATTAAAAAGGAAACAGTTTGCATATCTACAGATGTATCCTTCACTTCCGTCAAACCTTCATGAGCCGACACCGCAAGTAGCTGCTGAGGACGTAGCGGATCCTCTCCATCTCCATCCGATGGACACTGACCTTCAGGTCCCCCTTCTTTGCTCTCCTGAGATTTTCTTCCTGTTGAAAGGGATGATAAAGTTTATAAAAAACATGACATACAGAGGCAAAGAACCTTCTTTGTTTAATCTGCACGCAGCCCACAAGGACCATCACCACTGGCAATGCTGAGGACTCAAGCACTACATTTAGGTCAAAGGAGAAGAAAATACTCTAAGAGTTCTCTTTTTCTTTTAATTCCTTAGTTACACAAATAATATATGACTACAGTCTCATCACATAAAGTTCAAACAATACTCATTTACAGGCATACCTCGCATACATTGAGGGCTTTGTTCCAGACACTGCAATAAAGCGAGTCATAATCTTTTCGCGGGTGGAAAGATCTTGCCTTCAACTTGTAAAAAAGCCACCCAAGTGCACTGTGAAACGCCACAAAGTGCCATCAAATGAGGTGACTGCACTTCTAGAAAACGACTATTTAAATAGAATCTGAAATGCCGGGTCAGAAGGGCCTATGAGAGCTCTAACCTGGTGGTGAAGGAGATAACACAGCAGACAGAAGAAATGTCTAAAGGGTCTTAAAAGGAGTGTTAAAACACCAGTTGGAAAACTGTAAAATATCAATGTTCTAAAGCTACTCTGAGGCTGATAATGACTTGAGCTAAGCTCATCGAACACCAGGGCCACACACCGGGCCAGGCAGGTAAGATATATAGAAGGGTGAGCAGTAAGGGACTATGGGGACAGAGAACACACTGAAAGGGGAGGCCCTGACCTCGCTTAGGTCAGCTGTTGGCGTGTAAACATGTGGGGCTGGAGGTGACAGGTGTTTAGCCTTTCCACTGGAAGACGATATCCCGATACTCCCAGGGACTCTCACGCTCAGTAGATGTAGGTAACTAATTCAGTATTTAAAAAAACTAAGCTGAGCCAAACAAAATAGATTTGCCAACAGACCTCTCACTACACTGACAAACCCTTTATATGCTCTCTTCCTTGGCACCCCGAGATAAGCAGCTCTCACCATGTGATCTAGCTGTTCCATGACACATTCTACAATTTCAGGCTTGCTTTCCAGCAGGTCAGGGGCAAACTTCTCATTCATCCACGCCTAAAAAACAATGCAAAAAACCACAATTACGCACAAACCACTCACGATGTAACAAAAACAACCCTGTGAGTCAGTTTTTTATGAGGTGTGCCTCATACCTCATGAAAATCCCAGCCGTCTCCAGTATTTCTGACGGGTAAGACAACTGTCTACTTGTCGGAAATACTGGAAATGTGTTGAAGGCAAGCTGCTTAATAACAGCTTCCCCATTTCTTTTAGTAGGAAATTGTGTGTACAGCCTTGTATTTAACCAACAGTACAAAAAAATCACTGTTCATTTCAAAAAGGTCAGTAGACCTGTTGCTGAGAGTTAACACCACCTGGTGTTCAAACAGTACCTTTCACTAAGTAGTGTCAACACATTTCCTTCATCTGCTACTATTCCCCACCAGGGGGCACCAGCACCTTTCTACCTGGGGAGATGAAGTAACACTACATAAATCTCTCCATTCCTGTAACTCAGAGCTCTTTATGAACACTTTTTCACTCATCATTATAATATCTGAGAAGAAATGAATAGAATTATCCTCATCTTGTTGGTGAGAAAATACAAATTAAGTTATTTACTAACTGCCCAAAAGTATAAAGAAGTGGATATTCATCTATTAAACAGTTTTGGAACAAGAGTTTTAAATCTCGAATTTACAACTCAAGCCCAGATGCTTCATACATTTCAGAAATTACCAAGGCTTAGAAAACTGAAATAGCCACAGGTGACTGAGGAAAGGTATAGCTATCTTTCAATTACAGGAAATTTAGTTTTAGCATAGCTCAGAATTACATGCCAATTAGGCTCAATTTATTCCTTCTGACATCCTTGACTCTCTGCTTCTCCAAATATCGCCATCACAACACATTATCCAATACTAGGTATTGCTACTGTCATAAATTTTTTCAGGTGCTCAAGCTTCTTTATTAGTGTTACAGAAGTTAACCAGAAAGAAAATCTGTATTTTCAAGAAACATAATGAATGAGAAAAGAGCAAACTGTCATAGAGAACTTATAAAACAGTTTTTAATCTGATTTTATTAAATATTAATACCTACAAAAATAATTATAACATATAAATAAACATGAATAGTGATACAAATATCTGTGTACATATAACTTCCTTAACAAATATTATCATTGTTTTAAAAGTCTCTATTCCTCTCTCTTCAGCAGTAATCATTAGCGTGAATTTAGTGTTTAATATTCTGTATAGTTTCACTACCTTTGTTTCTATCTCTACATAGGACTTTCCAACCTTTGCATGACAGAGTGTGTAAAGAAAATGACAGCATCCGTATGGTGTGCTGGGGTAAAATGGAGTAGACTGTAGGGGGGAGAGTTCTTATTTACAGTGCATTATGGAATTTAATGAAACATAAAACAGGAGAAAACATTAGTATAAAACTTTAAAATATTTCAAAATGTGTGCTGAGGAACTTATGTTTAATCAATGTTTTGTTTTTTTTTAAATAATTTGTTTAAAGTGGCTATATCTTGTTCCTGATCAAACATTTTAATGCCAATCTGTTCAACATGTTATAGACTAAGCTGTGTCTCCCTCCATCCTGCACTCAAATGTCGAAGTCCTAACTCCCAGCACCTGAGAACATGACTACTTGGAGACTGGGTCTTTAAAGAGGTTGATTAAGTTAAAATGAGGTCTTTTAGGTGGACCTGGACACAATATGGCAGGTGTCCTTTTAACAGGGGTAAATCTGAACACGGATGCACAGAGGCAAGACTGTGTGAAGCCACAGGGAGCAGACAGCCGTCTACACGCCCAGGAGACAGACAGGCCTGAGAAGAAACCAACTGTGCCACACCTTGATTTTAGACTTCCAGCCTCCAGAGTTGAGAAAATAAATCTGTTCTTCAAGCCCCCAGTCTGTGGTAGTTTGACATGCAGTCTTAGCAAACTAACACAATCATTAAACTCAGAAACTATGCATTGTAGGTAATACCTTTTAAGTCTTTTTAGACATTCAAGAATAGCCCAGGTATACTCCTGCAGCTGAGTTTATCAGTGGTCTCTGCCAGGTTGCTCCTTAGGCCCTGCTCCCCAGCCCCCCAGCCTGAGTCTGCCAACTACAACAGCTATCCAGGGGGCGGACCAACCCCTTGGCTGCACTCAGGGGTATTGCAAGAGAGCATCAGGCACGAGGTGTAACTCCTGCTCACCCACTGCCAAGCTGAGGCTGTGCTGTCAGCCACCAGCTGTCCTCTGGCTGCCTTCCAAGGACCCCCTGATGACACACAGGAGGAAACCAGCCTGGGGGCTCTGTGCCCCAGGGGTGAAGGGTCAACATCACTGAGGCATCTGCAGCACGTGGGGGTGGGTACACCATCCAAGCTGGCAAGCTCTTCCTTCAACAATAGTTTTATGAGTGTTTGAATTTTATATAGTTTCTTCAGCAACTTATTTTTTGTTGTACCACATTATGCTCCTAACAGTTACCCATGCTGTTGCACGGGCTGACTTTTATTCATTCTGTTGTTTTTTTCTCATTGTGTGTATATGCCATAATTTCTTATCCATTCTTATGGTGAAGGATGTCTGGGTCAATTCTATGAACATTTTGTACATGTCTCCTAGAGTACACACGAACGTTTCTCTAGGGCACAGGGGGCCAGCCCTCCACCTTGTTTTATCTGGCCCAGCACCTTATTTCTACTGCTAAGGAGTAGTTACATCTAACTACTGTCCTCTATCATACAGTCCTAAAATTACATTCAGCCCTTGGAAGGCAACTTGAGGCTGATGCGGCCCCCTGTAAAAATGAGTTTGACACCCCTGCTCTAGGGTATACACAGGAGTAGAATGACTGGGTAACAAGATATGTGTGCCTTCGACTTAAGTAGAGAATAAATTATTTTCCAAAATGAATGAATCAATTTACATACTCCCTGTAGTATATAAATGTGCAAACTGCTCCAGATCCTTCCCAATACTTTATATTGTTCACTTTTTTCATTTCAGTCAATCTGATGGGTATGAGTGATATTTCATTGGGGTTTAAATTTTCATTTTCTTGTTTACTAAAAAGGTTGAACACTTTTATGTAATTGTTGGATATCCTGGTTTCTGCTTCTGGGAGATGTCTGTTAGGATTTCTGTTTTCTACTGGTCAGTTTGTAAAGTTTATTTATGTATTGTGGATACTAATCTTTTGTCATTTATATATGTTACAAATATTTTCTCCCAGTTTTGTGGCATGTCTTTTTACTCTCATCGAGGCATAAAAACAGAATATCAGTTTTTTCCATTACACTTTGTGCCTTTTGATTTTTGGTTAATGAATTCTCTCCTAATAAAGCAGTAGCTCTTTTTTTTAAAAAAAATCTTATTTATTTATTTTTAGAGAGGGAAGGGAGGGGCATAGAGAGAGAGAGAGAGAGAAACATCAATGTGCGGTTGCTGGGGGTTATGGCCTGCAACCCAGGCATGTACCCTGGCTGGGAATCGAACCTGCGACACTTTGGTTCACAGCCCGTGCTCGATCCACTGAGCTACGCCAGCCAGGGTAGCAGTAGCTCTTAAACTGGGATCCACAAACCAGATGGGCAGATTTCAGGATGTCTGTGAATCTTCTGAAACTATATACAAAATTCTGCATGAGTACATCCATGTATTATTTTGGTAAGAAGGGCCAGAGTTTTCCCCACATTTTCAAAAAGGTCTGTGATATAAAAACAAATTAAGAATCACTGCTATTGCCCTGGGTGGGTAGCTCAGGTGGTTAGAATGTCAACCTGATACGCCAAGGTTGTGGGTTTGATCCCCGTCAGGACACATACGAGAACCAACCAGTGAATACACAGATAAACGGAGCAACAAATTGATGTCTCTCCCCCTCTCTCCCTTCCTATTATTTCTCTAAAATCAATAAATAAAAATTAAAAAAAGAATCATGGCTATAAAGTTAGGATTCACATATAAGATGTAATTTTTAAATTACAGGTCCTTTGGTTTTGCCTCTCAGGATGGCATGTATGGTAGGAAAGAATGAAGAACACTGAAGTAACACACATAAGTGAGTTCTTGAAAGGGACAGATAAAGAAAGGCAGTAGACAAAAATAATGCAGCAGTTGTAGTGGATTAAGAACATGCATTTTGAAGTAAAAAAAGAGATCTGGCTCATATCCTGGCTCTGCTGCCACTGTGTGACCTTGGGCAAGTTAATTTACAGCTTCTCTAAGCTTCAGTTTCCTCATCTGTACAATGGAGCACAGTGGAGCAATGGAGATAACAATAATACCTGCCCAACTGGGTTGTTTTCAGAATTATTACTACTCACAGCTAACATTCAGTGAGTGCTTATCATGTGTCAGATAATATGCTGAGCACTTTACATGTGTACTACTTCATTAATCCTCACAGCTCTCTGAGATGGCCACTATTATTAACTCCATTGTATAGAGAAGGAAGTGCTGGAGACAAGCTATACAACTTGCCTAAAGCTCACAGAACAGACCAGTGCAATGGAGGGATTTAAATACAGGTAGTCTAAACTGCTAACTGCCACAGCCTCACAAGACAGTAATTGTAAATAACAGTTACTGGCACACAGGAAATACTCCAACCACAGCTACTATGACTAAAAGAAGATTAGAAAGGATTTTAGATAAGTACTGAAAATATAGAGAACAGCTGAAAAAAGAAAGTATGAGGGTGGACCCCCCAAAAACCCAGAATTTATTTATAAAAAATTGTCTATTTATTCTTACATGTTTAAACATCAGTAACCTTCAAAGTACTCTCCCTTTGATGCAATACACCTATCAAGATTCCTTTTAGTGTTTCTGCTGTTTTTTGTTTCACCTTTTCCATATTGACAAAACATTTCCCTTTGAGGACTTTTTTTCACCCAGGGAAACAAAAAAAAAAGTCACTCAGGAGGAGATCAAGTGAATAGGGAGGGTGGGGTATCCGGGTCACACAATTTTTGGTCAACAATTGCTGAACACCAGTGCAGAATGGGTGTGCTCATAAATCGCCCATCATAAAGTAGGCAAACACAATGAGTCTTTAAAAAGAAGAATTCACTGAAGCTGAATGCAGCCTCTCACAACATTACCAGCTGGTGCACTGATACAGATGGGTTCCTAGAACACTCACCTAGGTGGGGACGCCTGTACTACAAGGAGCCCTCCCTTCAGAAGATAATTCCAGGTTTTTTTGGGCCCCCCTCATCTATGGGAGGAAAAGAAGAATTAAAACTAGTTTTCTTCTAAAAAAGATGTTTCAGCACTTTCTTGCTAACCCAGGCCTTCCACAGGGAACCAGCAAATGTTTCAAGGGACTAAGGCATAAAACTTACAAGTCACCACAACAGTTCTGTAGTCTGTGCAAACACCAAGTTGCAAATCCTTGCTCTGTGAACTGTTCTGATAGATGTACCCAAAGCTGTCCCTTACTGGCCTCGCTTGAGGATTTTGGGTTTGACATGATGAGGTCTCTAACAGAGGCTGGCCCCCCTACTTTTTCATTTCTGTTAGACGATAAGATCCCTCTTCTTTTGAAATAAGCCTTGAATTCCATCTCTTCCTTTTCTGATTCCTGATATTTGCAAAGTTGGACTGAAAAGAAAAAAAAAAAGGCTACGATTGGAGCAAGGGGATTCTATTTGGGAAACTTACCTGCTCCAGCCTTTCAATAAGCTCTGCAGGAGTTAGGACCACCTCCTCACTACCCCCATCAGAGTCCTGTCCCATGAGATCCAGTTCCTCTGTCATCTTCTCTGAAACCTGGGACCTATTAAGAAAAGAACCAATACGCTTCTGCGTGTTTTCCATTTATTTGCAAGAACAGGTAACTACATATCTACAACTGGGGTTGTAGAGGCTCATTGGCAGTGGCTAGAGAATTCATAAAGGTTGAGTTTCAATTTTTTGCCTTTTCCTTCACACCTTAGATCAGGTATCATTTTCCCAAAGAGATGGCCTCTTGTATCTGGAATTGAGCACCTATCATACCATGCAATAATTATTTGTCTTCCCGGTAGGAGGTTCTCTCCTCAGTGGCTGTGTTCATTTCAGTTCGAATATAAATCCCGCATCCTCTCTGCCTGCTACTTCTAAGTACTGGGAACATAATTACCTATGTTGTCCCAGCGCTTAGCACAGTTCTTAACTCATAGCAGCCACTTAAAATTGTTGGGAAAACGAATCAATGCCTAATTTCCTAGGGTCGCAAGGCCCAAAGACATCAGACCACTGATCCTAAAGACTTTTAAGAAGGTGGGTGGTGGGGTAGTCCCCAGAGCCTTAGAAAAACTGAGAGGATATTTCTCTCGCCCCTGTGCTCTCTCGGTGCCAGGAGCACAGGGTAACCCCCTCCCACAACACACACGTACACACAAACTACCAGAGGTCCCACTCGGATGCTCACCTGGCACCCGGGAGGCAGAGAGGCCTTACGAGGTAGCAGGGGGATCGGATGGGAAGGTCGTGGGGCTCTTCCAAGTAGAACCTGGCAGCAGAAAACTCTCTTCTGGGCTTTTACAACCCACCAGACCCTACACTTAAGCTCCCGCGCTCCTCTTAGAAACGTTCTACCCGAATACTACGTCACTGCGCAAGGGGAGGAGCGCTGACCAATCACGGCCAGGTGGCCCTTTGGCCCCGCCCCAGGGGGGTGGGGACTTGCATCTCGCGGCTCAAACCCCCAACCTCCTCTAAGGAGGTGGCGGGAAGCTTGTCCCAGAGAGCCCCGCCCACCTCGGCCGATGTCGCTGGATTGAAGTCCCGGCTGGCATCACCCAAGGATGGTCGGGAGGGGGCGCCTCGCCACCGCGGCTGAGGAGACGTGACGGCGTTTCCCTTCCCGACTCTGGGGCGTAATCACCCGAGGATATCCTGGCCGGTAGGGGGGCCCACAGAGAAATGGACTCTGTTAAGACTAGGCCACTTCATCTCTTGGGTCTTCTCCACCCACCGCTTTTGTGTCCTCTGGTTCCTTCCTTTTTGCCGGGGCTTCCGCAATGGCTGCTATTTCCAGGCCTGGGAACCCGTGAGAGATGCAGATTCTCAGGCCCCACCCGGACCTGCTGAGTCAGAAACTCTGGGGGACGGGGGGGTGGTTCAACAGACTCTCAAGGTGAGTCTGATGCAGGGGAGTTGGAGAACCACTGTTCTGGGCAGTGCTTCCATCACAGCTGCTTGACGGTCCAGGTGTTTGGACATTCACTGCTTATACCTTGTACCTTTAATGTAGGGCAAAAGTATATACTGATATATATATATATATATTCTTTGTGTGATGTCAGTCTTTTTTCTCTGAATTACGGATGCTTTTTTCTCTGCTTTATGTTTTCTGTCCAAAGTGTCACTTCTGGTTTCCATAGAAATGTGTCTTCTCCATCAATCTGAGGACCCTTTGTGATGTTTCCTATGCCATATTGATTGATTAGGAAATAAAAGTTTGGCTAATTGACAGGTTGATAGTACCTGCCTGACTGCAATCATGTTATAAAAATAATTACAGTCCTAGATGGTGTGGCTCAATGGATTAAGTGCCAGCTTGCGAACCAAAGGGTTGCTGGTTCGATTCCCAGTCAGGGCACATGCCAAGTCCCCAGTAGGGGGCACGCGAGAGACAACCATATATTGATATTTCGCTCCCTCTCTTTCTCCCTCCCTTCCACTCTCTCTAAAAAGTAGTAATAAATAAAATATTAAAAAATAATTACAATAGAATATATGGAGTGGGAGAGTGGGCATATTAACAAAGGGCTATGGAAGCTGAAGGACTTCAAAGATGGATCCCAGAAGGAATGGACAGTTGAGCTGCACCTTGCAGAATGAGTTTTGCTAATGACCTTTGCTAATGATAGATGGCCTTCTCAAGCTCTAGTTCAGCTATGGGTTTCAGTAGTTTGGCAATCCAGTGGTTTTTAGTTGTGGCAGATTTCATTCCCAAAGATAGCTGCTCTAGTATAGATCTCACCCTACTACCTCCCCTTCTCACAACAGGATGCTGACACTTCTCCCTCAAGAAGGGGTGGGGGTGGGGCAGCCTGTGTTCTCACCCCTTAAATCTGAGAAAAACCTTTGTAACTGCCTCGACCAAGAAAATGTGGCTAAAGCGATGATGCTGTATGATTTCCCGAGCTACATCATAAAGGTGGTGCAGCTTCCGCTTTGCTCTTCCCTGGGCCACGTCCCTTGGAAGCAATGGGCTGCTGGTATGTAGGAAGTCGGGCTGCCCTGCAGCTGCCGCGCCGAAGGGTCTATGTGGAAAGGTCACATAGAGATAGGGAGCGGTGTCTGAGGAACCCCAGCAGCCCTGGCTGTTCTGTCCCACAGGTGTCAGAATTGAGTGGGCCTTCAGATGATTCTAGCTCAGGCTTTGAGCAATCCCAGCTAACATGAAGTAGAGCTATCCCTGCAGAAGTCTACCCAGACTGCAAATTTGTGAGCAAAATCTTGTTTTAAGCCCCTGAGTTTTAGGGTGGTTTGTTATGCAGCATTAGGAGACCAGAATATTAGATCACTGGACTATGTTTGAGTGCAGACCGTTCTTCTATAATTCTCATTACTACCTCGCTTTTCAGTGGTCTTTATTAATATTCCTTAAGTTGTATAGATTTGCGTCCAAGCACCAATAACTTCTCCACACGATTACCAGATAGTTTACTTATTCAGAAACTTCCCTTCTCTGGAGCCAACTGCCTTCTCAGTCTTCCACTGCAACCCTCTTGGAAAGGTGAAGTCCATCTTTTGCTTCCTTACTTAACAGAGGTGTGACCTTAAACAAGTCACCTCTCGGGGCTTCAGTTGCAATACCTGATAATTGAGAACAACATACTGTCTTCCTGAAGACAAAGGGATGGAACAGAAATTGGGGGAGGGGCTTTCACTTCTAAGGTCTTTGATTTCAACTAACACTCATCAGACAAAACCACTTCAGAGTAAAATGAGTTTGCAGAGAAAGATTTCTGCTATGCAAAGAAGGAGAGTTTAAGGAGATGTCTAGAAAGAGTGTATCGAGTTTGCTGGAGAAAACAGCACAAACTTGTGGTGAAACTTTGGTCACATGGCATTATAAAGTTCAGAAATGTAGGAGTAAAGACAGGTCATAAGTTACACTATGTTAGAATGAACAGAAAAATCAGGAACACCTGATTGATGTGCACCCATGGTTAAAAAGTTTTAAAAATAACTAAATAACTGCCCTGGCCGGGTGGCTCAGTTGGTTGAAACATCTTCCTGTCCACGAAAGGGTTGTGGGGTTTGATCCCCAGTCAGGGCACATGCCTAGGTTGCAGGTTTGATTCCCCAGTCAGGTGTGTTTGGGAGGCAGCAGACTGATCTTTCTCTCTCTCATCCTCCCTCTCTCTTTCTCTAAAAGCCATAAACATATCCTCAGGTGAGGATTTTAAAAAGTTATGCTAACATGGATCCAGACAAGTTAAAGATAAAAGTAGTAACATAGCAAGAGGAAAATGCTACCGCCTAAAGCTGAAGAGGACACAGAAAACAGAAACCTAGGAAACTGAAAAAGGTGAAAAGTCAGTGCAATTTCCAGCTATTGCTCAGTGAAGAAATTAAGGGCAGTTCAAGACACAGCTAAAATATTTGTGGATAGCTATAGAAATATGCATTAAGAAGAATGAAACTAATTCTTTTCAATCAACAAGGAGAAAAGATAAAATATACATATCCATACAATATTGTGAGCTCTTTTTGCAGAAGGATGCTTTTGAAATACTAGGTAATATCATCAGTATTGTTTTCATATCATCACTGCCCTTGCTCATTTGGCCAACAGCTGTTTCTCACTGTTCCCTTCCTTTGAATGTCATCACATTTTTGGTCTCACTGTCCTAAGAACCAAAGCATTAAGTTTTGGGGAGTGTACAGTTTAAGCAAAGTTTAACCCCTAGTTGTTCTGAGTAAATGAAGATTCGGAGTAAAGATAGGAAAGTAAGAGGACAACTTGGATTTTTAAAGAAGGCAGAAAAGTACTCGTAGAATAGTTTCTTTTAGCCTCACAAGGAATCTATTGATTGGTGAGTTAGCAAGTATTTTTCTGGCCCATGCTAAAACCTCTTCCTCGCTTGTATGGCGGAGATGCTGAAAAACTCCGGAGGCCAGGGCCAGCTTTGGATCCCCCTGACAGGGGTAGAGTCTGGGCTGTTCGTGACATTCCTAATTCCTTTCCCCCCGTAAACTTTAGCTACTCGTCCCGCCCTCAAATACCATCTTGATTTCAAGCACATAAAATTCACCCATGTATGTCCCCAATAAAGAGCTAAACTTTTCAAATCTAAGTTTTGATACCACAATTTCAAGAGTTTTAACAGATAAAGATGAAATGTATGGATTTGTCATATCATTTAACTAAAAGAAAAGCACGTCCAAAGCGTTGATGCTGTGTTCTCTATTGTCCCCGCCCACTCCCTTATAGGACGTGGTATGACGCTCCTCCCCTGTGTTTGGTCGTGATGTGTTCCCCGTTTCTGGTGTGGACGCATAAACCCTACCCCCACTTCTGTGTTTCAGCTTCTCATGGTTTATACAGGAAGATGCTTTTTTTCTTCTTTTTTCTCTCTCATGGCTACAGAATCAGGGTTAGGAATGACAGAAAAAGGGTCAGTTTGCTATGGAGGAGTACTCCTATCTTCCGAAAAGAAAGCTGATCGGGACACCTGGCTTCGAATTCAGCTCTAGCAAAGGCTTCTAGGCCCAAACGAAGACCTGTAGATGCCGCCTCTTCTCTTTGCCTCAAGTTGGTCGATAAGGAAGCAGAGGTATTGAGACCTGCCAGAGGCTACTGCGTTCTCAAGCAAAGAGTGAGCTGATATTCTCTCATTCCAGCATCACTGTTTTACCCCCTGAGATCTCCCTCGGCAGAGAGTAAACAGAACACCTGTAGGCCAGCACCTCATCGGCCTCAGGCTGGGACAGCTGCACTGGAGAGAAGGCTGTTGGAAGCTGCAGTCCAGTCCATTGAGAAAGGCAAGGAGGCCCTGGGGAGCTGGTGTGGTGTCAGTGACTCTGCAAACAGTGCTGCTGATTTTCTTGTAGTTCAGGGTCTCCTCCCTTATCGCTCTGCTCCAGTTGTGCCGACCTACTTAAGGAGATGAGGTGTTTTGTCTCCTTTCTTTGCACAGGCTACTCCCTCTTTCTAGGCTTCTCTCGTTCCCTTGAACCACCTGCTGGACCCCTATGTGTCCTTTAAGACTCAGCAAAGTGACTCTTCCTCTGTGAAACTGTCCCTCATATACTGCCCCTTAGTTAGGTCACCAGTACACACTATATGCTTCTGAGAAAACATTTATCATGCTATGTTGCAGTTTTGACATGCCTATTTCACCTATTAGATCATGAATTCCTTGAAGGTGGCCCCCAAATCTATCACAGGGACCATCATTCATGCACACATTTCTTTCTTCATCGAACAAACACTTCTTGAGCACCTAGTGATTTCTGAGTATCTCCTGCCAGGCCCTGTGTAGGTGCTGAGGATAGAGCAGTGAACAGGAAACACAGACCCTGTGCTGGGAGATGGACAATAACCAAATAACAATTCTTCGTCAGGCAGTGCGAAA